ACGCTCCTGGGCTGTGCTGGGGTTTGGTGTGAGCACAGGGAGAAGGGGACAGCCAGGTTTGGTCTCTGGGGGGATTTGTGTGTCCCAAAGCAGCCCCTGCACTCTGTCCCTGAGGGCTCAGCTCTGCTCTGTGAGCATTGTCTACATTATGTAAAGTTCTGTACAAATGTTCATTTGTAGTTATTCCTGTGCCCAGTGTGGTGTTGCAGTAGCTAAGGTTGCATTTTTGTGGACATAAATTAGTATTTTTTAAAAGTATTTTTAACCTTGCTGCCCCACATCATCTGATTTGGGAATATCATGTGCATTTCCCTGTGTGAAGCATGACAAAATGTTCTTCCTTTGCTTTTTTCCTTTGAGAAATGAGGGGCAGCTGTATGGTTGTCCACAAGGATTTTGTTGGGTTGAACTGGCAAAAAAAGTATTTTCTGATTGTTAAATTTAAGCAATAACACAAAAAGAGTCTTTAGGGTTGTAGTCCCAAGTCCTCAGTCAGTCTGGAAGATACCAGATTGGTTTGTTTGGGGTTTGTTAATTAAAGATAAGAAATAACAGGAGTTCTCCCCTGCACAATCAGCAGTGGTGACAGAATTCTCTCTCTGGCCACAGGGCAGAAGCAGGCTTGGAACCCTGCAGTGGAGAGCCAGGAGCTCCTGCAGCTTGCCAAGCTGTGCCAGGATCACACCTTGGTTGGGATGAAGTTGCTGGATAAAATCTCCTCTGTCCCCCGTGGGGAGCTGTCGTGCAGTGAGTAAATGGCAAATCCTGCCTGGTGTAACCTGTGTGTAACTAACGTGGCATTGTTGGCTTAAACTCACAGCTCTAAGGGGAGGCTCTGCTGCTGATCTCAAATGTGATATTCAGTTAGTAGGGCTGAGGATGTGCACAGTAGATAGGGGTGTTGCTTAAGGGTTTATTTTCCAAACAAAATTCAGATTTTTGTGCTAAGCAAGAGGTGAGAAATGCAGCCAGGGAGTGACCTGAGCTGTTGTGGTGGTTTGTTACAGAAGGGGCATTGTGACTTTGTTCATATTTATCACAGTTAGGAGCTGAATGTTTCAAACCCAAATGCAAAACTCGTGCCCTCCCTTTCGCAGTGCAGGGCAGTGATGATGTGTTACACATTTGTCAGCCTTGGCTGGGGGAGGCTGCAGCTTCTGTGCTTGTGTGTTCTGTGTTTTCTGGAGAGAGGCAACAATTCACGGTTTCCTCAGCCCTTGAAGTGAAGTGCCAGAACCTTGTGCTCCTCAGTTACAGAGCTGCTGATCCTGGCCCACAGCCTCTTCAGCCTGACGTGCCACATGGAGGGCATCACTCGGGTGCTGCAGGCGGCTCGGCTGCTCACCGAGGAGCACCTGGCGCCCAGGGAGGAGTACGGGCTGCTGGTGAGNCCAGCTGCAGCTCCAGGTGATGCAGCCCCATCCTCACAGATTGCTCTCCTCAATTCTGTGCTGTTTTACACTTTTTGGGCCCGAAGCTGCAGCCGTGTCCTTGGTTCTGGGCTGGAGAAGGATTGTTTGTATGACTGAGCTGTGAGGAGAACGGCTAATGCTTTATATGGGGTTCAGTTATACACCAGTGCAGTACAGAATGTGGAAAATGTGAAAGCTCAAACTTCAGGCATCACCTGTGGTTAAGGGGAGGTGCCATGGGTGGGGATGCCCTGATGGGATTTTGATGCTGCTCCCCCAGGAGCTGAGCTGCTCCTTTGCGGAGGTGCCATGCTCAGGGATGCCCTGATGGATTTCGTGCTGCTCCTTTGGGAAGATGCTGTGGGTTAAGGATGTTCTGATGGGTTTTGTGCTGCTCCTTCGGGGAGATGCTGTGGGTTAAGGATGCTCTGATGGGTTTTGTGCTCTCCCCCAGGAGCTGAGCTGCTCCTTTGCAGAGGTGCCACGCTCAGGGATGCCCTGATGGGTTTTGTGCTGCTGCTTTGGGGAAGTTCCATGGGATGCCCTGATGGGTTTTGGGTGCTCCCCCAGGAGCTGAGCTGCTCCTTTGCGGAGGTGCCATAGTCAGGGATGCCCTGATGGGTTTGGGTGCTGCTGCTTTGGGGAGGTTCCATGGGATGCCCTGATGGGTTTTGGGTGCTCCCCCAGGAGCTGAGCTGCTCCTTTGCAGAGGTGCCATGCTCAGGGATGCCCTGATGGGTTTTGTGCTGTTCCTTCAGGGACATGCTGTGGGTTAAGGATGTTGTGATGGGTTTTGTGCTCTCCCCCAGGAGCTGAGCTGCTCCTTTGCGGAGATGCCATGGGTGGGGATGCCCTGATGGGTTTTGTGCTGCTCCTTTGGGGAGATGCTGTGGGTCAAGGATGTTCTGATGGGTTTTGTGCTCTCCCCCAGGAGCTGAGCTGCTCCTTTGCAGAGGTGCCATGCTCAGGGATGCCCTGATGGGTTTTGTGCTGCTCCTTTGGGAAGATGCTGAGGGTTAAGGATGTTGTGATGGGTTTTGTGCTGCTCCTTCGGGGACATGCTGTGGGTTAAGGATGTTGTGATGGGTTTTGTGCTGCTCCTTCAGGGACATGCTGTGGGTTAAGGATGCCCTGATGGGTTTTGTGCTCTCCCCCAGGAGCTGAGCTGCTCCTTTGCGGAGGTGCCATGGGTGGGGATGCCCTGATGGGTTTTGTGCTGCCCCTTCGGGGAGATGCTGTGGGTTAAGGATGTTGTGATGGGTTTTG